TACCGGGGTAGACCAGGAGCCAGAGCTCGCGGACTATCTGCGACGCCGCGAGGCCTACGGACAGGGTGGTTAGGCACCTCGAGGAACGACGTCGATGCCTTTCGGCAGCGTAGCTCGCGAGCTCGCGGACTATCTGCGACGCCGCGAGGCGGTCTACGGAGCAAGGCTCCGTAGGAACTAGCCCGGGCGGGTACGACGGTTATTTAATTGGAAGTTCAAAAGAACAAATGTTCATTTCGCATCAGATACTAAGACTCCGGGGTCTCGGGGCCCCCTGTAAAAGTGTGTTCCGTTAACTACTATCATCACACACAACAAGGGCCCCCTGGTTAAAGTGGGCTCCGTTAACTTTTACTCGACACACATCCCAGGAAGTTTCTAAACTTCAAGGCCTTGTTTGCCCTTATATGCCTTCTATGAGGGGGTATCGAGTTGGATTGTAAACTCTTTCCTTTTGTTTTGTTCCTGCTCCGTGCTATCCTTAGCATCAGGACGCAGTCCCCCGGGTGCTGTCAGCACCCGGGGGGCCTGCGCCCTTAGAGGGGCGCAGTCAGCGGGCCTTATTCTCTGTATTAGATTTCAATTTCCCCCCCCCCCCTTCCCTTAGTCCTCCGGTTAATATTCTGGATGGTTCCCCTCTCTTAACATGGTCCCTGCCCTAGCAATGCCCTCTCCCTTGGTCACCCCTTATCTCTCTATCCGCCTAGTTCGTTAACTAAGAAAGCCGTAAATAAATATCCACACCGATCTGGTTGTCAAGCCCAAGTCAGGGAAGGCCCATCTTTAGCTTCAGGTCTGCTCTGGCTCCTTGCTCCCGGTCCCCCCCCCCTCCTGCTCCGGACTCTTCCAAGAGCGTCAGAGCAGGAGCAGGGTCCTTAGCCGGAAGTGACCTCTGCGTCAGTTACCTGTTCATAACAAAGGATGAGTAGTGGCTCCTCGTGCCCGACGCTACTAAGGACTTAGTCCTTTCTCTGGAGCAATCGGTTCTCGACGGTTGTATCTGTGCCTATAATATAGCCCTTATTGCTGCTTCATGTGCTGGAGTAAAGCACAGTGATGAGGCTAAAGCCAAAATATCTGATGCGAAGAAGGGAAAGAGCCACTCTGAAGAACATAAAGCCAATATAAGTGCTGCTGGGAAGGGGAAGAGCCACTCCGAGGAGACTAAGGCAAAGATGAGTGCTAGCCATAAGGGGCAGAAGCACTCTGCTGAAACGAAGGCAAAATTGTCTGCTGCGAAGACGGGCCGTGAGCTCCCCGAGGGACACAAGGCCAAAATCTCTAATCAAGGAAAACCGGTCTATCTTTATATTGTAAAACCACGTGCTTTAGAATTAAATGCAACCTTTCGTAATAGGGAGAGGGCCAGCGAATCATTGGGGATTAATCGAACGACTCTCTATAGATACATTAAAAATCGTACGCTATTCAAATTTAACGGAGTTTCCCACGTGGTTTCTTGGGAAGCCAACCTTACTTAAAATACCCCCCCTGGCCTCAAATAAAGGACAGTTGTCGTTGATCCAAGTTACCCTACTGGTTTAAACCACGTGTTCTCGTCCCTGATGCTACAAGCTCCCTGGTGCTTTCTCTGGAGCAATCGATTCTTGACGGCTGTGTTTGCGCCTATAATATAAGTCCCACTGCGGGATCTCCAGCCGGAGTAAGCCGCTCAGATGAAACGAAGGCCAAAACCTCTGCTTCTCTGCAGGGGCATAAACACTCCGATGAGACGAAGGCGAAGATGTCTGCTAGCCGGAAGGGGCGGCCCTCACCTATGAAGGGGCGGAAGCTCTCCGAGGAAACAAAAGCGAAGATGTCTGCTTCATCTTATAATAAGGGCAAAGCGGTCTACTTGTACCTGGTAAATACCCGCGGGTTTGAGTTAGCGGGTAGCTTCCCTAACATTACGAGATGCAGTGAAACATTAGGGGTCCCTCGTACAACGATCCAAGATCGCATTCGAAACCGTACACTCTTCAAAATTAACGGGATCTCTTATAGTATCCCGCAATCTTGCTTAAAATTTCCCCCCCCGTGGTCGGGGTAGCTTAACGGTAAAGCGTTCGTTTTGTAAACGATTTAATGGGGGTTCAAATCCCTCTCCCGGCTTCTTTTCAGCTTACGGCCTTTTTTTACTCTGGCCTGGTTGGCTGCTACGCAGCCCCTTTCTACTATACTAAACTTTGGGGTTTGCTATATTGCTTACGTGCCTATTTACATAGCAAATTTTTGTATACAAACTACTATTCTTCTCTTTCTCCTGAGCAGGAGGTTAAAGGCTCCGTCTGCGTCCTATTGATGGGGTTTCTTAGCTCGGTCCCGGGCAGCCTAAGATCTGATGAGTCCTGGTGAATTTAATGGACGAAATGCCTACGGCATCATCTAAAAATGAATTATGCGTCTAAGAATCTGGATCCTAAAAAGGAGTAGCTCCTTGAACAATGAGTTTTCATGTGTTTGATTTGCTTTATGTAGAACCGGACCAGGTTCGGGAATTCCTCATGTCTATGGCTAAATCTGGAAATGTTAGTAGGGGGCGTCTATCTGTGGATCAATCGAATTTAATCTAATCTAATTCAATTCAAATCAAATCAAATAAAATGTACGTTGGCTCCTCAGTTAACCTGTACAATCGAATCTCAGGGTATCTGAACGGGAGTAAGCTTATGGTATTATTGGACAGGCCCTCCTCAAATATGGTTTAAACAGCTTCGTCTTGATTATTTTCTTCGTCCCCGACGCCACGAGCTCGTTGGTGCTTGCTCTAGAACAATCGATCCTTGACGGATGCGTATGCGCTTATAATATCTTGCCGACCGCAGGCTCGTCTGCTGGAGCAAGGCACAGTGACGAAACGAAGGCCAAGATGTCTGCTGTTAAGAGGGACATAAGCACTCGGAAGAAACTAAGGCAAAACTGAGTGTAGCTTTCTCAGGGGGAAATAGCCCTCGCTATAATAAGGGGAAACCGGTCTATCTATACGCAGTTAATTCTCACGGGCTAGACCTTAGCGCCACCTACCCTAATAGGTAAGAGCCAGCGAACACCTGGGGATGTCGAAAACGACAGTATCAAACTATATTCAAAATCGTACGCTTTTTGAGGTGAATGGCAAGGCTCACATGGTCTCCCTTGATGGGAACCTTGCTTAAAATTTCCCCCCCCCCTGGTCGGGGTAGCTTAACGGTAAAATGTATGTTGGTTCTTCGATTAACCTGTACTCTAGGATCTCAAGGTATTTAAGCTTAAGAGGTGTCCATTAATATCTGTCGGGTTAGTTTAGAAGGTACTTAACGCACGACTCATACTCGTGAGATAGAGGATCGATACCTCTACCCGATAGTTTCTCTCACTCTAACCGTTTACGCTTACCTGGCCCTCCGCATTAATTAACCCCTGAAGGCACCAAAGAAGAAGAAACAGTTCTTACTCAAGAAGTTAAGCTATAGAACTGTTCAACCATGAATTACCACGTGTTTGATTTGTTCCTAATAGACCCGACCCAGCTTCGGGAGGTCCTAAACGTTATGGCTAAATCAGGGCTAGTTGGCGGGGTCTATCTCTGGGTTAATAAAACTAATGGCAAAATGTACGTCGGCTCCTCGATCAATCTGTGCGCTCTATCTCAAGTTATTCTGGTTAAATAACGTCCACGGTATTATTTGGCCCTGGCTCCTGGACTATCCCTATAGTGTCGGGACGCCAGGAGGATGTCGAATAAAGGTACAAGCGGTCTATTTATACCTTGTACATAAATGCCCATGGCTTAGAATTACGCAGCTACCTTCCTTAACAGGGT